GCGTCCATGGGTGCGGGGGATCGCATTGTGATTCATTCCCCGGGTGGTGGGGGGTGGGGGAAGAAGGGGGATGTAGAGAAAGAGGGGCTGTTGGGGAAAGTGAAGAATGTTTTCACAAGTGTGGCGAATGGGACTGTGGATGCGATTCAGTCGATGGGGGAATCTGCTTGATGTACCTTTGACTGATTCTGCTTCCTCAATTTCGTATCATCATATAAGAACCTTTGGACAGGCTTAATCTATTTGACGATTTTAAATCACATGTCATTTTCGATGAATGAACCGCGAGCTCGTGCCGCAATTCAGATTTCCACATCGTGCTTCGGTTAGCGATCTACGAGCATCTTAACTGTCTGACAGGAGTCCCGAACCATGTTCCCGCACGGATCTCCCGTATTTCTGGGGTACAGTACCTCGGCTTCGTACTAATCGTCCACTTATCGTTGCACGTGATAGACGTCGTCGCATTCGCTCCTAGTCTACAGAAGTGATTTTGGCCGTCAAGCGAATATGGCCGGTGAGAATAGATACGTATTTACTATTGCATATGAAAGTTGGTATAAAGTGACCTTAACCTCCTTGTCGCAAAGTAAACCCTAATAGCCGTATCATCTAAATCCAACGCATCTTCTAAATCGCTTGTAGGCTGCTGGTTGTGTAAGATCTATGATGCAATGAAGTAGTATAGGCTAGTTTCCTTCTTGTCTGTTAAGATCTTATTATTGCCTCTATAACCTTGATTTCAGCTTAGCTAACTTGCATCTAATTTAATTGAATTGCTAAGAGCTCTTAGCTTTAGCTAAAAGATTTAATAAGCTATAGTTTAACTCTCTTTAGGATATTTGCAGAGCTATTTCTTCGCTTTTCATAGGCGTTCCTTGTTACTAGCATCTTAGACTGCAGCTTCATACGTAGCAATTAGGGAGGTAGAAGGGGAGCGTATGCGCGGTGGAGGCGATAAAGGTATATAGGGAGAGGGGGGCAGTTTTAGTATTTGTCTAAGGGTGGCTGCTTGCAGGTTGCACTGGTCATTTTTATTTTCAGGTGTAGATGCCATACAACATGTCACCGGCCATGTTCGCTTGACGAGCCATTTTGCTTCCGTAGATTAGGAGTAAATGCGACGACGTCTATCACGTGAAACAATAAGTGGACGATTATGGCCATGCGCCAGTGATCAGACCCAGGGTTAGAGCGACTGACTACCTTCCCCAGATGCCGCGCGAAGGATGATCCCATGAACCTTGATTTGAATCCTTCCACCTTCCATTTTGACATGTTCAGATTAGAAGGAATTCCTATTAAGTACAAAGGTCAAAAACATCCCCGTATCTTAATTTCTTTCCTCTCATCTCATCTCCTCTTTTTGTCGATGAACATGTTTGTCTTTACTCAATATAGATTTGTTTTGTGTGCTTTATTACATTTGGCCGCTGGCGGTCCTGCTGCTCAACGTCGTCCTACTTTCGATCACTTTAGAAGACCGGGTTTTGCCACAACGCAGCAGAGCTCAACAACAAGTGTAGCAGCCACTGTTGCTCAGTCTTCATTTCAAGTGACCGCATCTTCTATACCAAGCTTGAAAGACGCTGCAGCATCTTCAATTCAGAGCTCAAATGCAAGTGCAGGCGCGCTTCCTCCTGTGGCAGCAAGTATAGGACCGGTCATTAATGCTACCCTTACAAAAAACTGGGGAATCACTAGAGATGGCGGTGGAGGCGGGACAATCGACGGGACGCATATTATCAATTTCTCCGATACAGGCGCTGACGGCAATAATGCTTTCGTCTCGAATTCCATTGCTACTACTAATACTGTACGTTAAATTCTCCTGCGGGACAAGACAAACAGAAAGTCAGAAGCTTACTAGCTCTTAGAATGGAACGATGCTCACCGACTACGGCACCAACTATCCCATGCAGCAATGGCCCTTCGAACCAGACGAAGTTGCAGCGTCCGGCCTCCGCATCGCCATCTGGCCAAACACCAACATCGTCAGTGGGTGCGGTGGTACTTGCGGATACACAGTCTCTAATGTCGTCGATGTCAATCTCACTGCTCCATACCCGAGCACCATGATCTACTCCACGCTAGCCAATATCACTCTAAAAAGCAATAACACACCTTCCGTGGAAAGGATATCGGCTCAGATGTGGAAACCTAATGAGACTAACTATGGTATTTACGGGCTGGCTCGCGCTCGGGATGGCTCGGATGATATATATCTGTTTGCAGCGCCAAGTACGGCAGATAGTGGGTTGAAAGTGGCGAAGGTTGCGGAGGCTTCGATTGCGGATAAAAGCAAGTACACATACTGGGATGGGTCGACGTGGGCTTTAACGGCTCCAAGCGCAAATGACACCAAATCCAACGTTTTCAGCAACAAAGGAGGAATAGGTACTGGTGTAAGTTTGTGCTACTCCATTTGAAAGTACGGTTATGGGACTAAATCAATTGGTCTAGGATATTTTCTGGTCGGCATATCACGGGCGCTGGCTCGCTGTTTTCAACGACGGCCTGGCGGTAGACGACACGTTCCAAGTCACGTACTCGATAACTGAGGACCTTACTGGCGTCTGGTCAACTACCCCGCAATCTCTCTTCGTCACACCGGGTTGTGGTAATGGCTGTACGACCCCGTGGAATTATGCAAGCCATGCGTATCCGGATATCGATCCATCGGGAAGGGTAGGCAGGCTTTCTGACAACACGTCTACAATACAATGTCCAATGATAAATACTAACAGGATATAGACCCTGCTCTTAGGATGGACGTACAATGCAGCATACACGTCGTTTGCCACCATTACTTGGACATGAGTACTGAGCGCCGTTTTACTTCTGCTTCAGATGTACACGTTTTCCAAACACCTTTACTGCTAGTTAGAGATCCACCTTGCAATTATAAATAAGCTAGGGGGAGCTTTGTACATGTCTGGTGCTCGTTTGGCTTCTGCTGTACATATTCTATTCATCCCCTAAACGAGAAACACAAATTACAAATTTAAATTTGAATCCTCGACTAGTGGGGAAGCTCATGAATATGTATGCCGAATCGGAGATGTTCTTTGGTAAGTGCTAAGCGCAAACGTGGCTTTGGAAAGTATGGCGGGATGGTTATATATGGGTAGAGGGGGAGGAAAAGGAAAAGGAAAATAAATGTAGGGGAAGTTGGGGATGGTAATGGGGTTCGGACTAATGATACTGCATGCTCAGTGGAACGGATAGGGTAAGGAAGGATTACTGGGAAGGTAGTGGGAAGACAGTTTTAGAAATCAAGAGTCATCCTATACCACACAACACGAAAGGTCGAAATATCAGCTCCAGCGTCCTCGCTCCTCTTTACTCGCATTCCATAGTAATGTAAGAACGTAATATGTATGTATATAATTACATCCTTGATTCTCCTGAACATCAAAAAGGTGAATAGCGTTATCAGGGTGGAAAGCAGGGCTAGCCTATATTCAGATAGATGGTTTCTATCAAAAGGTTCTGCGCGTGTAGTCTATCTAGTAAATGAGGAAGATATGCGTTTCTAGTGTGAAAATTATGGAGTCGTGCTCCCTTGGAGCGGTTCTGCTGTCATTTGGATGATTGTTGTCAATTCATCTTTATCTTTGAGGATTAGTATCACGTTTAGTGGTTATGAGTTTGGTTTGATTTGTAATTACGTACTTACCATCTGATTCGTTTCGTAAGATACAGGAAGAGGTATGTTAGTATGTTTTAGAGCTTTTCGCATCCGTTGTTAAGTCGTAGTATAAAGATATTACTGTTTTCAAGAGCTTGGAATTTATACTTCGAGGATGTTGGGAATGGATTGATTCACTGGATACTTGGGATCTCAGAACATACCTTCCTTCCGCCTTCCCATTCACATGTTGGTTCTTACCTGATGCCATACGCTTCCGGGCCGCAGGACGCAAATACCTCGTAGTATATTTTCTCTTCCTCTCGCGACTACTATGCAATGAATATCAACAGCGTTTATTCTTATCCCAAGATTATTTATTGCAACGGAGACCACATCGCAATGATGTTCTTTCGCAAGTTTTTTTTTTTTCAGTATGTGTCCTACTAATTGATGAAACTTTGAAGTTCCAGTTGGTCAAAGGATGCTCTCGTGTTCATTGACTGACTGGCTGAATTGCAGTCAAGTGCACTTTTGCTGTTAATGTTCATACTCATACTCATACTCACAAAATTCCATATCTCTTGGTACTCTTTCCATTGCTCTTTAGATTGCCGTGCATACAAGACCGTATGGCTGCGCTTTGTCTGGTATCTTCTGGCTTCAAGATATACTCCCCCCACCCCAAGTTTTACACCCCGTGGATAAGAACATCCGGTTCCACTCGACTTTTCCGTGTGGAGAAGGTGTAGGAGTTATGCTACTTAAATAGAGTGCGCACTATATGCGCTAGTGGTGGAGTTGGAGCTGGAGCTATAAATGCAATTCAGTCCCTCCTTAATAGGAATTCATGAGATAGGTATAGCGCGATGAGGTCAAATTCCTTCATGTGTGGAAAGAGAGTATGGATAGAGAAATAGGAATCAACTATGCCGAAGACATAAGGAGCGGTACATTTAATATATAACAAATCCTAAGAATATTATTTCACAGCGGTGGTTTATCTAAGTTACAATGCTGTCAAGAGATATGCTGCCGTCAACTCTTAAACCCGTTCGTTCGTTCGTTCGTTCCATGGGCCTTCCGAAATCTCTATAGGATTTTATGTATAAAGTTAGGTATATATATAATATGTTGTCCTTGCTCGCTCGAACCACAATTTCCGATTCCAGGCGTGTTCTCTGTCTATAACTATCATTGTAGATTAGTCTTTCCTATATATACATCTCAGAGGCATGGACAGATTATCGTTGCAGTTAATGGCAGGTCATTCACTGGCTTACTCTGTACCATACTATACTTTCTCAGACATCACCCTATAATGCATAAGTAAGTCGTCTGGAGAAGGCGATAGTAAAACTGTAGCAAGAATATCCCAAGCTAGAATTCACGGTAGAAGTTGGATCCATTAATAAATTCCAAGGATGCGAGTTCAATGTTTCGATTATTCTACCAAGTGGAAGTGGAGTAAGCTTTAGCTCCTGAATGGAGGAGTTTATTTCTGGGACTTGATGTGGTGAGGTGGTTTCTTGCTTTTGCTGTCAAAAAACTCCCTCGTTCATTCATGTGATACAGTCATTTGGATTGAATGCAATGGAAGGAAATGAGGTTGTTGTTCAGGACTTTCAAGAAGGTGCACTCATTGCTAACTCATACAAGCTGACGAAAACTTTCTCTGACACATACAGGACCTCCTTTTACAGAAGCGTTTGTTGGAGTTTCCCGTGCAAGATTGCGAAAGGCAAGGCTTTTATTCATCTACCAACTCTATCTAATGAGCCTGCACAACCCCACTAGCATCCGCCTGCTCCGTAATCCTCTTCTTATACGCCTGCACATCGCCTGGAAACTTCTCCACGGTCCCATGATCACAAACCCAGAGACTCTTACACACAGTCTGTAACATAGTCACATCGTGACTGACCATCAACACACCGCCCTTGAACGCCGCCAGTGCTGTGCTCAGAGCGTCCATAGCTTCGATATCTAAATGATTTGACGGTTCGTCGAGGACGAGAATGTGTGGGTTTTGGAGAGAGAGGCAGGCGAATGCTACGCGGGATTTTTGACCTCCGGACAGTAGTTCCATTTTTTGGAGGCCCGTCATGCCGGTTATGCCGAATGCGCCCAAGTGGCGACGGTATTCTTCGTCTTGTTTTCCTGGGTAGGTCTTGGCCATGAAACCTACTGCTGAAGTTGTGAGATCGAGAGCATCGACGTGATGCTGTGCGAAGAAACCAATTCGTAACCTGGGGTTTTGCGAGATAAGACCGGATGTAGGAGATAGTTTCCCAATAAGTAGCTTCAGAACTGTGGTTTTTCCTGCACCGTTGGGGCCAACGATTCCGATACGGGAGTCTAGTTGCACGTCTAGATCTACATTGCGGAGTAGAGGCTTGTCTTTCGTGTATCCAAAGCAAACGTCTGACATCTGCACGATGGGCGGAGAAAGTTTCTCGACGTCGGGGAACTTGAAGTGTACTGTGTATTCTGACTCTGGTGCTTCTAATACGGGCATCTTCTCCAACTTCTTGATGCGGGATTGTGCCTCGGATGATTTCGCGGCGTTGTAACGGAATTTGTCGATAAATGTCTGCAAATGCTGGCGCTGCACCATCTGGTTCTCGTACTCGCGTTTTGCGGTCTTGCGGCGTTCTTCCTTGGTAGCATAGAAAGATTCGAAGTTTGCACCTTTGTAGTAATCTAGTCGCTCTGAGTGCTGATGTATGATGTCGGTTGCTACTTCATTGAGGAAGGCTCTGTCGTGGGAGACGACAAGGACGGTGCTAGGGTAAGATTGCAGATAGGTGCCCAAGAAAGTCACGGAGGGAACGTCCAACATGTTGGAAGGTTCATCGAGTAGGAGAAGATCAGGCTCGCAGAATAGCGCTCGTGCTAGGGCTAGACGCATACGCCAACCTCCAGAGAAGGTCTTGGTAGGGAATTGTTGGCGTTCAGGGGAGAAACCAAGACCAGCGAGAATGGTAGCTGCTCGAGATTCTGCTTTGTCGGACTCCATCTCTGCAAGTTTGGATTGAACGTCTCCGAGGGTTTGATCAAGACCTTCACGTTCCCGATCTAGCCTTTCGGCATCTGCTGATGTGTCGGCCATGGAGGCACGTTCTGCCTCCATGGTTGCTAGTTGTTTAGTGATTTTGACATTCTCGGCCAACAGATGCTTTCGCCAGACATCTGCATCTAATACAGCTTGTAAAGCTGGGGTATCATCTCCAGTGATCTCTTGTTCGACGTGCAGAATGGAGATATGAGTTGGGATAGCCAATTCTCTCCGTGCCAGGGCTCGTAAAAGTGTAGATTTTCCAATACCGTTTTGACCAACCAGACCATATCTTCGACCATAGGCCAATGTCAAATTGGTATCTGTCAGGATCCTCAAGCCACCAATAGTCACATCGATTCCATCCAGCTTGATATCCTTGCTCTTCGCTTGACCCAGGGCATTTGACCCAAGTTGCAGAGGGTTAACAGCCATGAAGAACTCCTCATAAGACTGGGCATCTTCTGGTTGGTTCAATAACCTAGAAGCCTCATACTCAACAGCCTTGAAAGTCTTCTTGCTCTGCTTGGCGGCAATCTTCTTTTCGGCTTTTTCAAGCTTCTTTCGGTCAACTTTAGACTCTATCTTCCTGGTATTGTTCGACTCCAAATCCACACCTCCAGTAGACACTCCCAACGTAGATGACATGTTCCGTTGAGTTCCCACTTGAATGGCTTGATCTAATCGTTTGGCTGCGGAAGACACCTGCATTCGTTGTCCATCTGCTGCGAAGGCGCTGAACTTTTGCACCCATTTGTCCACCAGTTGCGCAATCTTGGCTTCATTTTCTGGCGACGGGTCTCCTGATGCAGAGACTAGGAGAGCAGTGATGGAAGCAGCGGCCTCTTCTAATGGAGATGGTCCTGTTGACTCTGATTCGGGGACATAGGCATTTGATGCATGGGTGAGGTAACCCACTGAGTATTCCGAGATCACGGGGTCAATACCGGGCAGGAAGGACTTGATTTCAGCTTCCATAGTTGCGGCAGGGTTGAGTACGGTTTAGATATATCGAGGGCGATGAAGCTTGTGGTTGACGTCCTTAAAAGCGGGATATCAAATTCAAAGATGCCCGTTTCTGATATTTGCCTCGCTCGTCTCGTGATGTTCTCCATTTTATGCACGTGCATTTATTGGTTGGTGGGTTGATATTGCAAGGTCCCCTTTCTAGACCTAATCCAGCAGCCTTAGCGCCAATTGATGGTTTTCCTCACCGCTGCAGTTCTCCAACAACAAATCCATTCAACTCAACACTCCACACCTTCAAGCATCCACCCACCTTCTTGCTACTCCTTCTCCAACCTCACATTCTCAACCTCCGAAAACACATCTCCATTTCCAGATCCCCCTCTACCTTCATCATGCGTGAAATCGTGAGTCCTCCCTCCTGAGCCTTTGTTGATCCTTCCGACGCGTCTGGCTTCGTATCCCTGAACTATATTACCCCACTACAATTTTGAAAGACCTCAGAGCTGACCAGGTGCCTTTTGCTGTGTACAGGTTCATCTTCAGACCGGCCAATGTGTAAGTAACGCCATTGATATTCATGAAGACTCGAGCTGACCTTGGACAGGGTAACCAAATTGGTGCTGCCTTCTGGTGTGTAGACCTGGGCGCGACGTTCCATCCGGACACGTCCGCAACACAAAAGTATTCAACACTGACAAATATATAGGCAACTGATCTCTGGCGAGCATGGTCTCGATGGCTCCGGCGTGTAAGTTCACCGGTCGGGCATTCGAGTCGCGGCTCGGTTTGTTTACATTGAGCTAATTTTTGCAGCTACAACGGAACGTCTGATCTCCAACTTGAGCGTATGAACGTCTACTTCAACGAGGTCGGTCTCAACTCTTACCATTCCCTCTACTATCTTTACTGATCTCATCTAGGCTGCCTCCAACAAATATGTCCCCCGTGCCGTCCTCGTCGATTTGGAGCCAGGTACCATGGATGCGGTCCGTGCCGGTCCTTTCGGTCAACTCTTCCGTCCCGACAACTTCGTTTTCGGTCAATCCGGTGCTGGTAACAACTGGGCAAAGGGTCATTACACTGAGGGTGCTGAGCTTGTCGACCAAGTTCTGGATGTTGTCCGTCGTGAAGCCGAGGGATGTGACTGTCTCCAAGGTTTCCAGATCACCCACTCCCTCGGTGGTGGAACTGGTGCCGGTATGGGTACGCTTTTGATCTCGAAGATCCGCGAGGAATTCCCAGATCGTATGATGGCCACCTTCTCCGTTATGCCATCGCCAAAGGTCTCTGACACTGTTGTCGAGCCTTACAATGCCACCCTCTCCGTCCATCAGTTGGTCGAGAACTCTGATGAGACGTTCTGTATCGATAACGAGGCCCTTTACGATATCTGCATGAGAACCCTCAAGCTCTCTAACCCCTCATACGGAGACTTGAACCACTTGGTCTCTGCCGTCATGTCCGGTGTCACCACCTGTCTGCGTTTCCCCGGTCAGCTCAACTCTGATCTCCGAAAGTTGGCTGTGAACATGGTTCCCTTCCCCCGTCTCCATTTCTTCATGGTTGGATTCGCTCCTCTTACCAGCCGTGGCGCATACTCTTTCCGTGCTGTCACTATCCCCGAGTTGACTCAGCAGATGTACGACCCAAAAAACATGATGGCTGCCTCTGATTTCCGTCACGGTCGTTACCTGACTTGCTCTGCTATCTTGTAAGTCACACTTATATACGATTGATAATTATATTGTGCTAACAATAAACAGCCGTGGAAAGGTCTCCATGAAGGAAGTCGAGGATCAAATGCGCAACGTCCAAAACAAGAACTCCTCCTACTTCGTCGAATGGATCCCCAACAACGTCCAGACCGCTCTCTGCTCCATCCCACCCCGTGGTCTCAAGATGTCTTCCACATTCGTCGGTAACTCCACCTCTATCCAGGAGCTCTTCAAGCGTGTCGGTGACCAATTCACTGCTATGTTCAGGCGTAAGGCTTTCTTGCATTGGTACACTGGTGAGGGTATGGACGAGATGGAGTTCACTGAGGCCGAGTCCAACATGAACGATTTGGTTTCCGAGTACCAACAGTACCAGGATGCCTCCGTCTCGGAGGGTGAGGAGGAATACGAGGAAGAGGCACCATTGGAGGCAGAGGAGTAAATTTGTTCGACTATGCTTATTCAATTGAGCGGCATGGTGGTGTCACTATCAAGTCGAATCATATTATTCGCAAGGTTGAGCATGTCTGATGGCATGGTACGATTGTTTTTCGTTTGGTTTTCTTGAGCGATGGAGCTTTGTGATTGAGGAGATACCTTTCACGGGGAGCAGTGGTTGATAACGAAATGATTGAGTAGTAATTCAAGGCAATAAGTCTTTGAGTCTATGTTACGTCCAACTTGCAATGTGATACAATAACAAGTACCAGGTATGTATACGTTCCCGAATGGTATGAAAGGCTGTGTGGACAAGGAGGAAAGGAGTAGCACCCAGTGGTCAGGCATGCGGAGGGAATGCGAATTACTTTGCAATAGGGCGTGCATACCTAGGTAGGCAAGGAGGGGACGGGTAGCGGGGATTGCATTTGTGAGTCCCTGCAATACATTCAAGTTCTATCAATGGTTTGAGGTCCAACTACGTACGTGTACGCACGCAGATGGTTAGCGGAGCAGGCAGCACGGTAGGGTCTCGATCCATTCTACCTTGCCTTTCTTCCAAAGCCTAGGGTTTGAATCTAGGGTTTGCCAAGTCATCGATTGACTGCTTAGGACGTATGCCAAGACGAACATGCAGAAAAGATTAACTTATATGTCATCGCTATTGTGTTGTGAAGAATGACTTTCTTGAATAATATTTCTTTTTGGGGGTTCTGTGCCTGTGGGGAGGGGAGGGGATACTTCGACTTTGTTGGGCATGCGTTGTTGGTTTTATATCGAAGCTTGAAGTGAAGTTTCTGTCCGTTTGTGTTCATCTCAGCTTCGCTTCGCTATGCTATTCTATTCAGCTCTTTGCCTATGCTTATGCTTATGCTCTTTCCTATCTTATCACCGCGAAGGAAGTCTTGGTATGCTAGCTGTGGTTTCCTCTCCGGCTACATCAAAGAAGGAGTTCCAGCTCTTGTGTAAATTGTAAATAGATAGTCGGGTCGTGCGGCTGGTGGATTCGTATAGCACGGTATGGTGAGTGGGTGAGTTCTCTGATATTACAAATAGGATTGCAACTTAATCCTTCCCGCGCCAACATTAATGCCTACCTTAGGTATACAAAGTTTATGAAATCCATACCAGCCACTACTTACAGTCCGCATGATCTCTCATTCGGTCAAGATAAGATACCAATATGCAGGCAACAGACACTTAAAATACTCTCGATCGAACAACTGGTCAATGTACATGAGGGCAAAACAAGCTCCCTTCAATCCAAGCAGCTACTTGAAAGTGATGAACCTCGGCAACGATCGCAACAGCCAGAGACCCGGAACAAGGAATCAGTCGTGCTGTGAATTCTATACCAAAAGAGACCACGAAACCTACAATAGCTATTCCTACCTTTGAAACTTCCCCTCCACACACCCACTACCTTTCGGGCATTTCGAGACGAGAATCGAAAGGAAGAATGAGGACAAGATCTGCCAACATTCGGCCACCTTCACCGAATCACCTGCATCTCAAACATATCAACCTCGCTCGCACTTTATATACGTCAAAGCTCTAGTAGACAACGGATAATCTCCAGCTACTGATGAGTGATTGTCCGATAGCTCTCATGTCAGAACACTAAACCAACCTCTAGTTCCAACTCTACAGACTAAGGTCTGACATCTCACGATGTCTTCCGTCTTGGCAGACGTTGGATCAAGCGCAGCGCAGCGCAGCGCCATGAGATGAAACGAAACGCACGACATCAACCAACATCTTACGTCAGAACACTATCACAACGTCCACAACCAACATGCGGCTACACGGCGCCTACAAACCCCCCTTACGTCGTGAAGCTACCTGCTCTCCATCTTAGAATTCCATGTAACTACCTACTGCAGAGTGCAATCAGCTCAGCTCAGCTCGTGGCATACAACCAACTTTGGAAGCCTCAAGCGCCTGCCATGCGTACGTGCCAACTTGGTGCATATCGACAAGGAGTTGAGTTGCCCAACTCTACATGTACTGTACACATGATCATATATACGTGAAATAAAACACATCCTCATCCATGCAATCATTCATCCCTCCCTATCGAACCAACGAGAAACTCCCAAGTACATATTCGCATTTTGCAAGTACGAGGTACAGAGAAATAGAGAAATACCCGATAACAAGATCTGATGCCATTCATGGCAGGAACCGAAGAACATGTCTACAGTACCGCAATCACGACTTCCTTCCTCTACTGTACCGATTCAGTATCGCGCATCCGCGATGCACTTCTTTGCAAGGTACCTACTAAAGATACCCATTTCTAGGATGCACGTGGTAGGTAGGTTGGTATTTAGGAATAGTAATCAAGTAGGAGATAGGAAACCGTAAACCGCAAACGCAGCGAGGCAGCCTCGCGGCACAAGAGTGATTAACCTGCGTATACGAGTAAAGCATGGCATGGCATGCATCGCGACCCGACCAAGCCAATGAGCAAAAAGGCCTCGCCTCTGCCGTCTTTTACCTGATTTAGAAATAGACAAAGAGAGAAAAACTAGCGAGCGCTAATTCTGGAGAAGAGATAGATGGGTATCTCGTTTGATCGTTGGTACGAAGTATATTGCAGGCTATAGTACAGCGGTAGGTAGATGAACTTGCACTTATTCATTACCCTGGTCCTAGCCTGAGCTAACAACGGACGGAACAGCGGAGGTAAGGTACGTACCGGTCGGTACTGTTGAAACATTGCGACAGACACCATCTATCCCACGCATGGCCGACCGTCCCGCTGGAAAGCTTCTATTTCCATTTGCTTTTCCTTCTACTGTACATAGGCACAGGACTGGGCATTCGTTCGTTGATTAGATTCGTCCGTACGACGGACGCGTGGCAAGTCCCGGTACCGAGTTGGCTTCGTAACCCTACAGTATACTCTAACTCCAACTCCAACTCTTTTCCCATAAGCGCCGACCGAGCGAGAGAGCAAACAATCCAACATCTGATCTGCTCTGAGCCTCAAACATACATATGCTGCTGCTGCTGCTGCGCTGCGCTGCGCGCCCACGCACACGCACATGCAACTCCGTATGCCGATCAGAATCACTTGACCGATATCAGATGCAGGACGTGCGTATGTGTCGTAGGTACAGTACTGTACTGTACGGAGTTCGCATGCGCAGATAATGCGTCGATTCCGAGACCTGATTCGGTGACTGAGGGAGACAACCTGCTTAGCTTGGCCTGTCCGACGAACGAAATAATGGCGCGCGGGGTTGGTTTTGAGCGTAGATAATTACCCCTTTGGGCCAACCCAACTCGGACGGGAAAGTTTACATTTTATAGTATACGATGCTCCGTATTGTTACTATCACACCTTGCTGAGGTAGCTGTAAGTACGAGGTAGAGTAGATTACCTATGTACTGCTTGCTCATTTAGTAGCCGAATTATAGGTAGCGATTGACTCGTGGTAAAAAGAAAAAGGGATTTTGATCCTCCCTCCACCACGTTACAGACACTACCTACCTTACCACCACACCCACCATCACGATACACGAATTAGCTTTCTTTGAAACAACTCGGATCCCGCGGTCGGATTCGGACGAACTTGATAATCCAGCCCGACTTGACCTACGCGTTAGTTGATCCTACCGAATCCGAGAACGGGATGTTCGGTATAGACGGTTTTCGTGCTGTGCTGTGCTGTGCTGTCCTTGCTGCTTCAAGGATTGAAAGCAGGGGGCGCATCGAGTTATAGAATGGGCGTGTGATTGATTGGAAAAGCTAAAACGTCTAGATTGCAAGTTAGAAAGCAAGTATCGTTGCCCGGAGTTCAGGTCGGATATAGGTCTTTACAGCAGTAGCAGCAGCTCTTAATAAATTTACTTCGTACAATACTCCATATAAATGCACGAGCTTAGGTATACCCCGTCTAAAATTAAAGTATACGTCCGTACGCCGATCCTCGTTCCTGGTGTGGGGTCCAGCCAAGGGATTTTTGCCAGGATAGCCTATTATTCGTTCGAGATACGAAGGCCCCAAAGAAATCAAATCTAGACTCTAACTGCTCTGAGGCAAGAGGGCCAGGCAGCAACGGTACAATAATAATACTCCGTAATATTGTACATACAGTACTGTACGAGCAAGTAGGAGGAGCTAGTACCAAGTAAATATACTAAGTTACAAAGTAATTGCGGCCGCCCCTCCGACCCACCATCACCACCCTTGCCTTGCCTTGCCTTGCCTTGCCTTGCCAGCCTTAAAACGTGGTCGAATGATGGTTAATTGACCTAATCAGGCTAATCATATACGACGACGATCCCCTACGAAGTACTACATAAGTAACCTCAACTCTCCCTCTCCCGCTCCGCTCTTTCATGACCACGGAGCTCACTTCCAGAGAAGTACCGGCCGGCAGCCAGCGGTGAGGATCATCCCATCACATCGTAAATACTCGTAAATTACCTTATTCTAACAAATGCCAAGTACAGTGACATCCCATCCCATCCCTGCGAATCAACCCCCCTTTACTCCGTACATTGCCTCCAAGCCCAGAAACCAAATCCAAATCCCCATTTCCCGACTTTCTGCATAGCCAGACAGGGACCATTGCGCTGCTTACTCAACGGCCGGTCTTGTTGTTACCTTACTTTCAGCCCTATGAAACCTTTGCGGAGGCCCCGACTTACACTCCGTACCGTCATGTCTCCGCTCACGAGCATACTTTGCGTTCTGTGGCGGTGAGTTGCGTTACCGCTTGTTTCGTTGATTTATGTATTCACTCATTCGCTCTTTACTGTGTCTCTTTCCTGTCCGGAGATCAAGAGAGGATATCTTCTTCCTCGTATCCTGAGCCACATAGGAGGCCATCCTAACCTTCAATTCCCGCTCCCCCCTCCCCCAATCAAAGTTCTCCGGATTGATCAGTAAACAAGAAATAACACATATCTACTAACCTGACCTACTCTTTTCCTATACAAATGATTCACGCCCTTTGTTTGATTTACGGAGTACAAGTCCGTCCAAATGAA